GGGCCTAGACCCTTCTTCTGATGCTGCTTGGCCTGCTGTGTTCATCCAGCTCTACACCTTGTTATCTCAGATTCCCCAGCATCTGCAGTTCCTACTATCTCTGAAACAAGGGTTCTTTGATAGTCGTGTACTAGTAGTGTTGGGATGGTAGATGGTGAAAAGACCACTGCTAGATTTTACACACCTTCTACACCCTTAATCATACTGGAAATGAGCAAAAAACCTCAGTCCCATTGCCTTGTTTGCTGCATTGTTTCAAAACAAACAGTAATGTTATCCTGTGCACTATAATGCCATGAGAGATGAAATGCTCTCTTTAAAATCACAAACTCTAATTAGCAGCTGTGTAAACACATTTATTTCAAAGAGAAACTGTTTGAATTGTGGATATTGAAACAAGCTCCCCAGTTTTCGCACCCATTTTAAAGCAGTTTAGTTTTTCTTGACATAAAAGTTGGGTTTGCATGTGAAACAGAATGCAGTATCTGGATTGTGACACATCTTTAGTACATATGGAATTTTATATAAACACAAACACAACAGAAGTAATAAAACATTATAAGTAAAATCTCAAAGACAAACAACAAATATTTTGTTACAGTGAAATGAACTGGTTAAGAACACTGATAGAAGGCTCAGCTATAAGCATAGTAATTCAGTCCTGTTGAGATCATAGGAACACCATGCATACCACACTTGAATTAGACAATCAGTAGAGCGCTTGTAGTACAGTGGTAACATCCTTAAATCTGGATTGCCTTGCCCAGAGACAAGTGCTACCTGTTCTAGAGCTCACTGAATCAGAGTCATACAGCATGGAAACAGACCCTTGGGTCCAACTAGTCCATGCTGAACATAATTCCAAACTAAACTAGTCCCACCTGCCAGATCCTGGCACATATCCCTACAAAACTTTCCTATTCATGTACCTATCCAAACATCTTTTAAATGTTGTAACCATACCCACCTCCACCACTTCCTCAGGAAGTTCATTCAACACACAAATCACCCTCTGTGTCAAAACTTCACCCCTCATGATATTTTTTAAATCTCTCTCCCCTAACAAGTGTGTCCTCTCGTCTCAAAATCCCCCATGCTAGAGGGAAGACAACTACTATTGAGCCTATCTATACCCGTCATTATCTTATAAACTTCTACAAGGTCACCTCTCAACCTCCTACACTTCAGTGAAGGAAGCCCCAGCCTATCTAGCCTTCCTTTATAAATAAAACCTTCCATACCTGGGAACATCCTTGTAAATCTCTTCTGAGCCCTCTCCAGTGTAATAATATCCTTTCTTTAATTGGACAACCAGAACTAAACACAGCATTCCAGAAGAGGCCTCACCAACATTTTTTTTCCTTTATTCATTCACAGGATGAGGACATCCAGACTGGCCAGGCAGAATTTATTACCCATCCCTAATTGCTGAACGCAGTTAAGAGTCAACCACATTGCTGTGGGTCTGGAGTCACATGTAGGCCTGACTAGGTAAGGATGGCGATTTGCTTCCCTAAAAGACATTAATGAAGGTGGGCTTTTCCCAACAATCAACAATGGATTCATGGTCATCATTAGATTCTTAATTCCAGATATGTTATTGAATTAAAATTCCACCATCTGCTGTGGAAGGATTTGAACTTGGGTCCCCAGAATGTTATCTGGGTCTCTGGATTAACAGTGCAGCGGTAATACCACTAGGCCATTGCCTCACTTTCCCCTACATCCTGTACAACCTTAACATATGTAATAACAGCTCCCACAAGGTTGATTAGAAAAATATCTAAAACATATCAGTACTGAAATTTTCAGCAATTACTGCCCTGAAACATTTTACTTTCTGTCAGACTGTTGAGGGAAATCCATAAATATGAATTAAATTGTACACAATCTATTTTTAAGATGAGACTCAACAGGTACAAAATATATTGAACATTTTTTTAAAAAAACAGGCTGCAGAGCTAATAGCAACCTCACTCTACTTTCATGTTAATAAACCTTTCAAAGATGTCACTTTAATGACCAGCAATTACTCCATCCACATCAATCAGTTCAGGTATATGTGAACAGAATAGCTGCACTCAAGAACACTTCGAGTGATAGGATAATCAATAATAACTTCGGCCTGATGCAAATCATTTCTTTTTAAAACACAAGGTGTGTCCAAAAGTACCATTACATACAGTACGCTACCAGTTTCAGTATCTATTTCCCACCCATTTCCACAGGCCTGGGCACAATCCAAACAGTAATGAACGGGGGCAGTTTTTTAAAAAAAAAATCAAGTTACACCCTTTGCTTTTTTTTGTAAATACGTAAGAACAATGATTAAGCCGAAACGACACACACAGAATTCAAAGACAACCCGAGTAACCCTTTCCGAACAAGCCCATGCAGTGACAAATGTCAAATACACAAATGCATTTGATATAGATACGTATACACATCCAAGTTTGCTTTCAGCTACACTAATCGGTATTATAAAATAATCACCTACCCCTGCAACAACTCTCTGCTATCAGAACGCACAGACAACCAGCAGCGATCACCAGGCGTCATATGTTTTAAAGGGCCACAAGTGGCGGCGCCGGAGGTGTCGGGAATTGTAGTCCAGACCATGACCAGTCACCGGGGCACTTTAGGGAGGCTGCGCAGCGAAGGAACTACAATATCCAGAATGCAGAGCGGGAGCCGGCAATTCCGTGGGTGTGTGCCAGACTGGGAAATGAATAATATTTTTGTTGCTTGTCGTGCATGTGATTCGTTGCACGAACGCTTAATTGGTCAGTTGGTTGGTGGGGGAAACAAAAAAAAATTGATATATTGGTCACAACCGGTAAATAGCAATGATTTAATATGAATATTGTGACACTGTATAACTACTGTGTACTCGAATACAAGTTAACTAGTGGGAGCCTCACTTTCTGTTCGTGATGAGTTCTATTGACAGACGACCTGTGATCCTATTCACAGCAAAAAATAAAATCACAAGCTGTTGAATTGCTGCATTCATAGTGGGTCAATTATATGTTTTTCTAGCTAAAGAATACAAATCCAGAGTTGTATCGTAGCACATTTGTATTGGTCGATTAAAAAAAATCTCCAACTGCAGGCTGTAGATGTCAAACAGTCTTTTCATTCCAAGAAACCAAATATGTGGCATAGTTCCAAATATTTCCTTTTTCGAGGTACCGTCTTCATTGGTGTTTGACGAACAATTGTTTTGCCTTTTCTTCCGTTCAACCAAAATACATCTCAGTGAGAATGTACAGATAATTACTGAAGGTTTCAATACCCTGTATCATTGCAGAGACATACTTGTTCCTCTACTGCAATCCTCCCGCTATGAAGGCCAACATACAGTTTCCCTTCTTTACTATCTGCTGCACCTCTGTGTTTAGTTTTAGCGAATTGATATACCAGGACACCCACGTCTTGTTGAACATTCTCCTCTCTCAATTTACAGCAAGTCAAATAATGATCTGCCTTCCTGCTTTTTGCTATCAAAGTAGATAAACTCCAGATTTATCTACATTTGCTCAGCCTGTTCAAATCACAATAATATCATCATCAATTCCCTACAGTGTGGAAGCAGGCCATTCAGCCCATCAAGTCCACACCAACCCTCCAAAGAGCATCCCACCCTGACCCACCCCTTACCCTATGCCTGCATTTCCCACCCTAGATACTGTGGGCAATTTAGCATAACTAATCCACCTAACCTGCACATCTTTGAACTGGGAAGAAACCAGAGAAAACCCACACAGACACAAGGAAAATGTGCAAACTCCACACAGACAGGCACCCAAGGCTGGAGTTGAACCTAGGTCCCTGGCACCAGGAGGTAGCAGTGCTAACCACTGAACCAACATGTATCTTGCTCACAGCTCACCCTTACACACAGCTTTGTGTCATCTGCAGATGTTGAGATGTTACATTTAGTTTCCTTATCATTAACGTACATTGTGAATAGCTGGGGTCCTAATACTGATTCCTGTGTTATCCCACCAATCACTGCATGCCATTTAGAAAAAAAAAGACATATCCATTCCTGCTGTTTGTTTACTGTCTACGAGCCTATTTTCTACCCATCTCAATACAATACCCTCAAACTATGTGCTTTACTTTTACACATTTATCTTTAATGTGGCCCTTTGTTGAAAGCCTTTTGAAAGTCCAAATAAATCACATCCAATGGCTCCCCGATCAACTCTGCTCATTACATCCTCGAAGAATTCCAGCAAATTTGTCAAGCATGATTTCCTTTTTGTAAATTAATGCCAACTGTGTCTGATTCTACCACTGTTTTCTAAGTGCTGCTATAAAAGCCTTGATAATGGATTCCAGCACCTTTCCACTACCGATGTCAAACTCACTGGTCTATAATTCCTTGTTTGTTCTCGACCTGCCTTTTCAAATAGTGGGGTTACATCAGCTGTTGGAATCAGTCTGGTATGACTCTTAAGCCATGTTACAATTAAAGGCTAACTCTGTTTGCGTCTCCACAAATACTGCCAGACCTGTTGAGTTTCCCTAGCATTTGCTGTCTTTGTTTCAGATTTCCAGAATCTGCAAGATTTTGCATTTATGATAGATATCCCAGGTCCAGATCTTAGATTTATGTTAGTTACAGACCAACTTTCTTTGTGTGTTCATGTCTATGTTTTCATGTAGGTCTTCCAGTCTAGAGTAGTGCATTGTGTCTGGTCTTTGTCCACAATGTTCAAACTCAACTCACACTTTTGCATGTATAGTCAGCGATGTGCAGCTCTATAACATCATTGCAAGGTTGCCCCAGGGCCCTGAAGCCCTTGCATAATATTATTGCAATGAATAACAGCACACATTCTACATGAGTAAGCCTGCAAATGCTGCCAGGATACCTCCTTTCAGAAGCATAAATCTGACTCTGATCCATTCACCTTCTGGTACTGGGACGATGATGGGTCTTCTTGAAGCAGGCGGGAACTTCAGACTGTAGCAAGGAGAGGTTAAAGATGTCAGTGACTACTCCCGCCAGCTGGTCCGCACAGGATCTGAGTACACAGCCAAGCACTCCATCCGAGCCAAACACTTTTCTCGGTTTCACTCTCAACAAGGCTGATCTGACATCTGCAGCAGTGACTGAGGCAATAGGTGTGTCTGTGGCTGCTATGGGAAGGTGACACCATTCCACTGGCATTCTGCTCGAACCAAGCATAAAAAAGCATTGAGAGCATCAGGGAGGAATGTGTTTTTGTCCGTTATTTTGTTCTGCTTCATTTTGTATCTCATTATGTTGTGTAGCTCTGATGTCCGTGCGGTTACTTTGGACCTCTAACTTGGACCAGTACTGCCTGTTAGCATCTCTAATGGTCTTACGGACGTCATATCTGGATTTCTTGTTCACGTCTGGGTCATCTGATTTAAATGCAGCACTTCTGGTTTTCAGTAGGCAATGGATTTCCTGGTTCATGTGAGGTTTCCAGTTGGGGAACATGTGGATTGACTTCTTTGGCACACAGTCTTCTACACACTTGCTAATGAAGCCCATGACAGTGGTGGCATTGACATCTTGGTTGTCCACTGAACTCTTGAATGTGGTCCAGTCCACCAATTCCAAGCAGTCCTGGAAAAGTCTTCCGCTGTCTCAGACCACCATTGTACTACTTTCTGTGCTGGATCCTCGTGTTTCAACTTCTGTTTGTAAGCTGGGAGGACGAACACAGCATTGTGATCTGATATTCCAAATTGCGGACGGGGAATGGAGCAGTAGACATCTTTGATGGTTGTGTAGCAGTGGTCAAGGATGTTTGGCCCCTAGTGGTGCAGGGGACATGTTGGTGGTATTTTGGTAGCATCCTCTTGAGGTTAGCGTGGTTGAAGTTGTCAGCCATGATGAATAAGGCCTTGGGGAATCTTGTCTCCAGTGCATTTGTAGCCATATAAATTTCATCCAAATCATTTTTCACTTCCACCTGGGGTGGTGTATAAACTGCATTCAGGATGGCAGAGGTGAATTCACACTGCAGATAGTAGGGATGGCATTTCACTGTAAGATATTCTAAGTCTGGGGAGCAGTGACTCACCAGGGTCACTGCACCTGAGCACCAGGAGATGTTGATCAAGAGGCAGACCCACCTCCTCTCGCCTTACCTGCTATATATGGAGAACCGTTCAGCTTGCAAGGCACAGTCAGGTGTAGCAGGAATGAGCCATGACTCTGTAAAACAGAGCATACATCTCTCTGTCAGTTCTCTCTGGAAGGTAAGTCTAGTTCTGAGTTCATACATTTTGCTTTCAATAGTTTGGACCTTTGTTAGGGGTATGCTGGGATGGGGGGACTTGAAAGCGCAAAGTTTGAGCCTCACCTGCATGCCAGCCCGTCTTCCACATTTTCTGCGTGGTTTTCTGCTCTGGCCATGTTGGTGTGCACCCAATGAGCCAAATGGCCTGTTTCCACGTGAGAGGGATTCTATGATTCTAATGCATACTTTCTGGTTTACACTGCATACGGGTGGTGGATGGGGTGGGAATGGAGCCATGATAGTGAGACAGCACCCATCGCTTGGCTGCCTCCCCAGAATCGCATCAGGGCTACAGGAGGCATCTGGCATCACACTAACCACTGAGACAGTTGAAGCCCTTAATTGGACAATTCCTGGGTATTTAAGGATCTCCTCCGGCCACTGTTACTAAAATACCAGTAGAAAGAAGTGTTTACGCTGTGCAGCAATATTACCAGGATATATTGACAGCCCTTTTGTGCACTGTGAGCCATCACCTTCAAGCATTCAGTGCCCAATGATGGGACACCCCTGCAGCACAGTATTTGCTGCTGCCCTTTGTAGTCCCTCCCTTTACACTATCCTGAACTTGGTTCTCCACTATCTTCTGTGGGACTCCATCAAAGTGATCCTGGCATTCAAAACCAATTACCATTTAGTCCATAACACCATAAGACTAGGAACAGAAACAGACCATTCAGCCCATCAGGTCTGCTCCGCCATTTAATAAGATCATGGCTGCTCTCATAATACTCAACTCCACTTTCCTGCTTTTTCCCATGACCCTTGATTTCCTTTCTGATTACTGTCTATCTCAGCAGTGAATATACTTATCGACCCAGCCTCGACAACCCACTGTAATAAAGAATTTCACAGGTATTGAGAGAAGAAATTCCTCCTCATCTCTGTTTTAAATGGATGAGCCCTCATCCTGAGAGTAAGGCCTCTGATCCTAAACTCTCCGACAAATGGAAACAACCTCTCAGCATTTACCCTGTTAAGCCCCCTAAGAATCTTACGTCTTTCAATACAGTCATAACTAATACTACTAAACTCCAATGAGTACAATCTCAAACTACTCAACCTCCCATCATAATACAGTCTCTCTTTACATGAGATCAATCTAGCAAACCTCCTCAGGACTGCCTCTTATGTCCATATATCTTCCCTGAGATCAAGGGATGAGTAATGTTTACAGTATTCTAAGTGTGGTCTAACTAGTATATTATATTGTTTAAGTAAGACATTACCAAATACCACTCTTTTTGAAATAAATACCAAGATTTAATTCAC